TTTTTTAAACAATAGATGTAATTGTAACGATTATATTTTATTACGTAAATAATAAGTAATATTTTTAAAATTCTTTTTTTGAATTAGAGCTTATATAAGATTTATGATGATTTATTTATTTTATTATTCGTATAAAATCGTTTATATTGAATAATTAGAATGAATTGTATGAAATAAAAGTAGGAATAATAATAATAAAAATAAATAAAAGTTCTTACAATTATTCTTTATAAATTCGAAAAAAAGGAAATTAATAAATTATTGAAAAATTGTTATTATTTAAATGATTTATATATTTTATAATTTATTAGAGATTCAAAATTATCAATTTTAAATTTACAAAAGTAAAAAAAAACAATTTAAACAAATTAGGAAATAAATTTAAATAAAATATTCAACATTATAAACGGATAAAGATATACAAAAAATAATACAAAAATAAATAAAAATTTTTACAAATTAAAACCTTTTTTTTTGTAACGAAATATATAAAGAAAAACAATGAAGAAACGAAATACTTATCTCACAGTAAAAAAACGAAAACGAAAATGTTTGATCTTTCGTTTCTGAAATCCTATTCGAGGAATGTAAACGTTGGCATGTCCGAGTATATCTCAAATTCTCACGCATTCGTCTGTTTTTTCTTTTTTTATTCTTTTTTTTTTTTTTTCATTATTATATTTATGCATTCTCTTTACAGCGACGTTTAAACGCGATGATACGAAATACGATTGAGTTTTATAAAGCACTTAAGGGAAAAAATCACGCTCAGCATCGACTGCACATCATAATAATACTCACACTCGCGAGATTCTCGATGCTTTGAATAATTTTTTTATATTTTTTTTTTATTCCTTTTTTTTTTAAATATACGTATATATCATCTTGCTATCTCCTCATTTTACCGTAATGGCACTTTTTTTCGGCGCTTTATAATGTCACCATGACGTCAATTTTCCAATCGTCGATATTCGATCGGTATAATCGATCTCTTCTTTCCAATTTTTTTATCGACCAATTTTTATTTTACCGACTTTTGTGAGACTTTTTTATCGACCAATTATTTTACCGCGAAATTGAAATAGAATAGACATCGAAGGAAAGAAAATAAGAAAAATGAAAGGAAAAAGAAAAAGAAAAATTAAAAAAGATGTTCTTCTATTTGAAAGCGAAACTTTAGCTATTCTCGAGAATATTTTTCAGAAACAAACATTAAGATAAATTTCTTAACCCAATGTTTATTAATGATAAATATTAGAAAAACGATTCGCCAGAGTTTTAATTACTCTCAAATGGATTAACATCGAAACACTATATATCCAATGGAAAACGAAGATGTTCGATCACCGAGAACCTCGATATCACGAAAAGCATCCGCATATTGTCGACATATGTATCTTTTTTCCTCTTTCTCTCTCTCTTTCTCTCTCTCTCTCTCTTTCTCATCTTTCACTCTCTTTCTCTCGTTCTTCTCGATCGTTAGATACTTACATTTAATTAACGGTAGATAAACTACGGTAGTTACACATGTGTTCAGTCGAAATCCACGCACGCAGATTACGCAAACAAGCGTGAAGTGGTATATTTTGAAAAAATGATCTTTAAATCGTCTTTTTATCTTTATTTCTTCTTCTTTTTTCTAACTCTCTCGAAATTTTCTCTGCACATTCATACTGCTCTCGTTCACAATCACGCGTACACCCTTTCTCTCGTTTCTATCTCACCACCTTCGACGTATTTAATTTATTTACATCTATCTACGCATAGATGCTTGTGTATATACGTGCTGCGAAAAAAAGTACGCATGTTATTTTTTTTCTTTTATATATATATATATATACATTCATGTATCTCGTGTGTGTTTCCGCTTGATACACTCCGTACGATTGGCAGTATGTTACAGTATGTGTTCTTCTTTTTTCCCTTCTGTTTTCCCTTTTTTTTTTGGTTTTTTTTTTTTTTCTTAAATATTCTGTTTTTCTATTTAATTTACATAATCCCGATTCGGCTACGCGCGCGCGCTTATTTAGCGATCGTTTTGTGTCTCTTTTATACGTAACATATGCGTATGCGTGTATATGTAATGTATGTATGTATGTTTGTTCCGGTGACTATTTTTTTTCTCTTTTTCTTTTTTTTTTTTTTTTTTTTTTGCTTTATCTAAGCGCATCATGGGATTTCGAAATGACGTTTTGTTCGTTCGTTCGTTCGTTCGTTTCTGTTACTCTTTTCTTTTTTTTTTTTTCACCCCTTCTTCTTCTCGATGCATTTGTACGTCGTGTATACGTGCGATTATCGATAAATCGAATTGGATCGATGGATCTTTTCCATCGTCATGGCTCGACGAATGACGAATTACGACGTATAAACATTATGTACGTTTTTCTTTTTTAATGATAGTAACAACGGTACTAGCAATGTTTTAATTTAATAAAACGTTTCAGTATTCGTAGCGTTAGTAAAAGTAGTAATAATAATAATAATAGCTATCCGTAATAGTAATCGTAGTAATAATAGTTGTAGTTAGTAATAGCAGCGGTAATAGTAGTAGTAATAGTAATAGTAGTAGTAGTAGTAGTAGTAGTAGTAGTAGTAGTAGTAAGTAACAGTAAGTAATAGTAGCAATAGTAGTAGTAGCAGTAGCGGTAATAATAGTAAAAGCAGCAATAGTAGTAGTAGTAATAGTAGTAGTAAGTAGTGATAGTAAGTAGTGGTGATAGTAGTAGTAGTAATAGTGATAGTGATAGTTGTAGTAGCGATAGCAATAGTAGCAGCGACAGAAGAGGTGGCGGTGTTTTTTAGTGATGTCAATAGTATTTAGTAACAATGGTAATAGTAATTGCAGTAGTAAATAGTAATAATAGTAGTATAGTAGCATCGATGGCGGTAGTAAATTGTAACAGTAATAGTAATAGCGATAATAGTGATAGTATTAGTAAGTAACAGTAGTAGCCGTAGTAGTTACAGTAGTAGCAGTAATAATAATAGTGTGAATAGTTTTTCTCTCACGTAGGTGGTGATCAGTAGTAGCAGTGATGGTAAAGTGATTTGTTTCTTTTTCTTTTTTTTCCAAGTCAAAATTATGCGATAATTTACACGTGCTCGTTTCCTTTTTCGAATAAAATTCTCTCTCCATTGTTATTCCTTCGTTTTCTCTTTGTTCTCATTTTCATTCTCATTTTTTTTTCTCTCTCTCTCTCTTTTTCTTTTTCTATCTTTCAACGATCGATCGTGATTTCGGTTCATTTCGGTTCATTTCGTCATTCTTTATTCTTCCTTCGTTTTCGCTTATTGGCACGAGCTACGAGAATACGGAACAACGACACCGCTATTGTTCGAATTCGATGTTGGTCGAAACCCTTCCCTTTTTTTTTTTTTTTTCTTTCTCGCGGGCAAAATCGTTCGCTGGATGTCGATGCAATGTGCACACGTGCGTTTTCTCCGTTATTTTAAGCGTTTTTTTCAACGGAGGGATCGATGAATCGCGACGAAGCAGCAAGTGTAGAGTCGCGAATACTTTTCTTACGGTAATAGAAGAGAATCGAAATGATCTTGACGATTTAGTAAAAATTCCTACGTATTTAGTTCGATGTATCGTTTAGCACGTTTATCTTCGAGTATCTTTTTTTTTTTTTTTTTTTTTATATATCATTTTAATTAGTTACCCCTCTCTATCCGCGGAGACGACCGATTATTTTAAATAATTTAATAATACGGTATTTTTCTCCCTCATTGTTCGATACATTTTTTTTTCTTTTTTTTTTTTTTTTAACAGAGTGAACGTGTTCGTTTTTCATTTTTTTTTCTTTTTCTTTTT